AGGCACTCACCAAGGGTCCTGATCAAAATTGAATTGCTGATTAGTTATATTAGCAAACAAATTCTAAAACAAGCTAAAATAAAATAGCACACATATAGCATAATATTTATTGTACCTCTAAATTTAGAAATATCCTTTGTTATTATTTGTGTTACTTTTATTTCAGGTTACCCTTTACGAGTTCAAGTACTTGTATAATTATTGAAGTAAGTAATGTCGGCCATGATCATTTCCAAAGCGATCTAAGTACACTGTTCTTATGTTTTACTTATAAAGATTCAAATGCTTTTTTTTCATCACTTGGTACCCTCGCTTTTATCAATATTTTTGAGTGTAAATCCAGTAATTAATTTTTCACGAGATTCGGCTATCTTAGGAGATTTGGGTTGGTCCTGAGCTAACAATGCAAAATAATCTCTACAATAGAAATATGGTAATAAAAAACAACAACAACAAACAAAAACCGATAAAGATAGATATATTAAACAAATACTGTTTACTAAAGTTACATTAAAGAAAAAAAAAGAGTCTAACTTATATAGGGAACACAAACACATGTTCTGTTGTAGATTGTTAGGGAACACAAACACACTAAATGTTTACTTCATGTTCTATTGTAGATTGTTAGGGAACACAAACACACTAGATGTTTACTTCATGTTCTGTTATACATTGAATGTTTTTTTGTATAAGCAAAAACATTACTCAGTGCACCCTAACAACGTCTAGTGACCAATAAAAGACCATTAATGGCTCTGACAGTGTAACTTTATAGTAGCCTGACATGAAAAAACATTAAATGGTTAAAAAAAAGGAGGCCATAATTAATGCCTCGCAAATTATAAGCAATGAGCGTTACCCATTTACTTAACCTAATCTAGAGAATATTTGACTAGGAATCGTCTAGAATTATATAGAATAGGAAACATTTTTGTTACATTTTGAGATGGGTTAAGGAGGCTGCTGTGATACTTATTATGGAGTTGATTTTTAGCTTCGCTCCAAGCTTGCTATGACAAAAAGTGAATATTAATTTATTTTGTACTTTTTCTAAAGGAGTAATAAAATACGAAGTTTTGCCATGTATTTTAAGGCCAAAAATTCTTTAGAGTTGGCAACGATTTAGATAGCAGTTACTTTTATATTGGTGAAGTCTTATTTCAGAGCATTTCCTTCCCAATAGCGTTGCAACTGGCTATATAAAATAAATCGTAGATTTCGGCTATAGTAATCAAGGGTTGTATTGGAAGTACACAAAGCATGTTGTTGTTGTTGTTGGTTTTTAATTCTGTATATAAAAAAATTCACTCTTGCAATATGAAGTTTCATTTTCTGATATTTAAAATGAGTTATTTAATCCAGGACTTAGCTGTAAAATATTAAATACTGGATTAAAGAAGTCATTTTATACCTAAAAAGACATATACTTCCGACAAAATACTTTATTTATGTAATGTTTTGACTTGCCCTTTTCAGGGTGAAAATGTTTTAAAGCAAATAGCACTTCACAGTAATTCTAACGTTTCGTCGGACAAGGAAATACTTTTATCGAGCTAAAGCTGTTTTTATTTATTTAAAAAAATATTAATTTCTTTACAAATGATAATACAAGTTCGGGGAAAAAACATTTTTTACATACAATATACAACATAAATGCAAATAAATCATTAACAAAAAAGCAGAAGAAATAAAATACAGTTAATTTCGAAGAAATCCTATAAATATGTTCAACTCACCCACAATTAGGTAGGTCCCCGCATTTATAGAGCCAATCCACGCTACCTTAGACTTACTCTCATTAAAAGTAGTAGTAAGTTCGGTGAGAAAAACTCCAAATGAGAAAATGATTCCATCCACGACAACATTACACATGAATGAAGCAAAGACGATAACCCACCCCCATCCACCGTCAGGAGGTGCTACTAGAGGTGGAAGCTCCTCGGTGTCAACATCATCTTCAGTAACTGGAAGTTTGGTGTGCTCGTCGTCTTCTTGCATTATCGGAGTTGCTTTTTCTGAGTTTTTGTCAGGTTCCTGAGCATTTATACGAGTTAACCTATTAAATTATAAAAATAAAGCGGATTCGTTAATGTCTGTTACGTTTAACTAAACAAATTCATGACGTATTGTTTGATTATAGTCGGAAATTATTTAGGTTTTCTTCGTCCATAGTCTCTTCAAATATGTACTTGTAGAATTTTATTTATCGTCATTACAGAGAGAACGAACAGTAAATTGGCTTCAGTAAGTCATGAACATTTATCGCGCTACATACATTTTCGCAGATGAATATACACATGACAACAACTTTAAAAAAAGAAAACAGTTTGAAATGGTAAATAAAGTGGCACAAGTTCCGGTAAGCAACAAAATGTGGTGAAGTGAAAAAAAACGTTTACATGAAAACAGTGAAAAGCTAGCTAGAATAGAACGGAAAACGTCATATGGTTGTGAATGACAGCTATAAAACCACTATTCATGACTAAAAAAAGTATTTAAGAAAACATTTTTGTAGAAAACACTAAGATCAGAAGGATAATACTTGTTTAAGTGTAAAATACTGCTGTCTTTTTTTGTGTTTTATTTTTAAGTTAACCATCCTGATGATTCAACTGAATTAAATGAATTGACCTCAGGAGAGAAATAAGTCTATATAAAAGAACTTACCGCTATCGCTTTGCAACTGGTTATAGATGGTACTGAAGCTATAAAACAAAATATTTACCTCGGAGTACTTAAGTATCTAACTCGAATTTTGGTGTATCTGGTAAGACTGATAAATAGAAATAAAAACAATTAAACACTACAAGGCTTCCGGTAACCAACAGAAAAAGGAATCATTTGAGTTTCTTTACATCAAGGTCATGAAGAGCTGTACAAGGCCGCTCGAAATCTACAATAATTGCAGGATCGTGTTTGCTTCGAGCAGCAGCTTGAGCCAAGTTACAAGATATCTGTCACTCTCTTGTATTTATAGTCCCATCTGTGATTCTCTCTCCAAGATGTCTGGTGTTCTTCAAGCACACAAACAACATCTGGAGGTTAAAGGTCTGAATCATTTTCTGGCTTCGTAAGATATGTTTTCGTTTGATTATAAGAAAGTTTCTCTGTCCTATTTTTCCGTCTCAGTATACTGTTTTTCCGTCTTGACATCCAATCAAACATATCACGTTTTACGCTGATAATAAACAGTACAGCTAAAGCACAGCTTTGTTTCAATAAATAATGCAAAATTAAGTACCTCTTCAATCATCATCATCGGCTCAAGTTGCACGTGTTAAGCAAAGCTTAAAATAGTTTCGTCATATTCTTATCGGTAATCTGTTGATGGATTATACTCTTTAATTGAATGTGATCATCCTTAATTGTCAATTCCAAAATATTTAATACCAGAAAAAAAGAAACAACACCCTGGATAAAAGAAATGCATGAATATAACTCTATTTGAATAGTGATGCTCAGTTAAACGCCAACACTTTCAGAGCAAAAAGAATAAACATTATAGTAGAAAGGGCTTCGGCGTTAAAAGAATATTTCAGACGATGTTTACCTACATAATGTTAATCTGTAAGACAAAAGTTTAATACACTTTCAAGAAACAGGATTTGAAATAAGTGGTATCAATAAGTTATAAGTTTATATTTTCTCTTCCTTAACGCTTTTCCCTTAACTTTTTACTATCTTAAAACACTTTCATGAAACAGAATTTCAAAAAAATGGTATTAATAAGTTATAAGTTCATATTTTCTCTTCCTTAACGCTTTCCCCTTAACTTTTTACCATTTTAAAACATTTCAAATAATTTTGATCATTAGTGTTCGTCCGAGGGTGGGATAGAGGGTAAATCTACGAATTTACAACGCTAACATCAGCGGTTTGATTCCCCTCTGTAGAAACAAACACAATTAAAGTTTTTACACCTTACATTGAATTTTAGACGATGATCTCTCTTTTATCGTTAAAACTGCAATAAATAGTTCCAAACAAAAAAAATTAATAAAAGAAATTAAAAAGAAAAATAAATTTTATTATAGAAGCAAAAATAGTCTGTATTTATTTATTTTACTAACATACCACTGTTTATCCTAATGTATATTTCAGCGGAGTTGTACTTAAACTACGTATCATATTTTTTCGGCATCGTTTCTACATACCTCTCATTAGCTTACAAGCCTGGCTCGGCATGGCCAGGTGGTTAGGGCGCTCGAGTCGCAATCTGAGGGTCGCGGGTTCGAATCCCCGTCACACCAAACATGCTCGCCCTTTCAGCCGTGGGAGCGTTATAATGTGCCGGTCAATCCCACTATTCGTTGGTAAAAGAGTAGCCCAAAAGTTGGCGGTGGGTGGTGATGACTAGCTGCCTTCCCTCTAGTCTTACATTGCTAAATTAGGAACGGCTAGCGCAGATAGCCCTCGTGTAGCTTTGCGCGAAATTCAAAGCTTACAAGCCACAGGGGTTAAGACAGAACTTAATATCAATCGGCCAACCTCGGCTAGTTAATTTTGAACTCGCAACCTAAGTAACAAGATTCAACCATGAAGTACTTTTATGAACTTATTTTCCGAAACTTCGGCTCTTATAATTTAGTCATTTTTCTGGACAAATTTTAAGGTAATTTCTTTTCTTATCTATAATCGTATCACTACAATGTAAGAAAATTATCTTTTCTGATCCTAGGGTACTTCTCATCGCTTTGTTCATGCAGTTTTTGAACTTTGGACGGGTATAAGTACACTTTTTTTTTTAATTTTGATCTATTTATCAGATTCTCTTTAACATCCTTGCCCTTTTGACATGTCAGAGTTTGAAGCTCTTATCAAACACGAGTTTTGGAAACTTAAGTGACAGTTGGTTTTAATGTATCAGGTTTCACAGGTATTTTCCAAGATGAGTAAACATGTTTATCTAAGATCGAAGATAGTTGGTGGTTGGCTTCAAGGACTCTCGGGTACTTACACAACTAAACAATACTAGAAACCTTCAAATAGTGACGTCATCATTCTGTATTGCTACGTGACTTTCCTGATTGGAGATTATCTTGATATTAACATAATGCCAAAGATGACGAATTGATTATAACGTGTATGCAAAGATAGGTTTGACGTTTTAACCTGTAGAAAAGAAAATGATAGTTGATTATAAATAGGTCCGGCATGGCCAGGTGGTTAGGGAGCTCGACTCGTAAACTGAGGGTCGCGGGTTCGAATCCCCGTCACACCAAACATGCCAACCTCCGCCTTTGCCTGGTCCCAAGTCCAGGATGAGAAAAAGGGGTTAGGTTAGGGTCCATAAAAACCAACCTGCTACAAGTAACTGTAACAACACCTTCCGTTGGCGAGGTGTTGTTGCGGCCCTATGTTTCCTACTCTTTTAAGTTTTAAAGACCGCTCTTGACCAAAACGTTTTTCGTCTCGTGCAGTGATCCAATTAACCACTGGGAATGATTCGAACATTTATATGTATGACAGAATACAATGTACCGTATCTATAGGCAAATAAATTTTTAATTTTAAAACATACAATTATTATTTCTGTGTCGGTAAACATCTCAGCAAACAATTATTTTCACAGTGGTGTCTGTAAGTTTGTGAGGATAACATGATCAATTAATAATATAATATGTGAACATGAGGCAGGGTGCACAAGGAAATGAGAAGCGAAAGCAGATGTAACGTCATAGGCAGTTAAAGTTTAATTTTTCCCTAATATTCACATTCTTCGCGTATCTAAAATATTTTTAGAATAACTTCCTGGATATCTACAACTGGGATTTCTTTTATTTTAAAATATTTATTTCATTTTCTTTACTAACATGTATTTCGAAAAAGTGTCTTAGGCAATGTACTAAAATAATATTATTTTAGCCAAGATCCGCCAATTCGATATTGAAGCACAGCATGGCCGGGTGGTTAGAGCGCTCGAGTCGCAATCTAAGGGTTGAGGGTTCAAATCCCCGTTAGGCCAAACATGCTCGCCCTTTCAGCCGTGGGGGGCGTTATAATGTTACGGTCAGTCCCACTATTCGTTGGTAAACTAAATCATTACCATTTCATATTGCACTTTTTTCGAATATTCCGTACTTCTTTATTTTCAATACTAGTATATTGTTTGTTTTGAATTTCGCACAGAGTTACACGAGGGCTATCTGCGGTAGCCGTCCCAAATTTAGCAATTAAAGACAAGAGGGAAGGCAGCTAGTTATCTCCACCCACCGCCAACTCTTGGGCTACTCTTTTACCAACGAATAGGGGGAATGACCGTCACATTATAACGCTGAAAGGGCGAGCATGTTTGGTGGGACGGGGATTTGAATACGCAACCCTCTGGTTGCGAGTCAAATGCCCTAACCACCTGACCATACCCGGCCAATAGTAATGAAAATAACGTAAAACTAGATAAAATACATGTATAATAGTAAGCTATAATAATAAAACTAGCAGTGAAGAATTAGCAAAATACTATAATTTATGCACAGTAAGATTCAAGTCCAGAAGGACAAGTCTAGGGTTTAAAATTCATAAATAGCATCACTTGTAAATGGAGAGAAATAAAGTGATCTATACTTTAACAGGTCAATGATTCATGATTTTAAACAAAAATGTAGAAATGTTGTCAGTAGTCAGCAGTGGGACATTCTTTCTTTTTTAATACTTTTTTATATTATCAGGAATATAAAACCCACTAACTTAATGTACGGAAAAGTGTTTATAATGATACAAGAATGCGTGCCTAGATCTTATTTCTGTTATAGCTATTGATATGCAGCACGTTTCCACTTCACAAAATACTGAGGTTAATGTTACCCCCTCGATCCACTTTAAATGCTTTCCAAACTCCATCAACCATGAGCGTGGACGATGACTTCAGAGGGTTCAATTTTGCAACCAAAAAAGCGCAGGTTCTATCAGAGATATTTGCAAATGATATATGGCATGGTTTTCCGTTTTTATTTTCATGTTGACCTAGACGTGTGGTTGGGTGCTTTGTCTTGATGGAACAACACCTTATTGGGATCAGCCCTCTACAAAGATAGTATTTCCTCACGGTAGAATGGTGTCAGCGCGTTAGCTTGGCATTCTTCTCGACTAACCAGACGTTTATCTTATCATTATAGCTGTAATATACAATTATCATAAATATCTTTCGAAAATTTTTCAGTGTTCTGTACAATTTTGTAAATGTTGTATCATCGGTAGGACGATAATAATTTGCTCAGAATTTTGCATACACTTAAGTTTGTTTTTTTTCAACGAGAAGAAATAATTTGACTTGTCACGTGCTAGATACCTCTTGTGACGTACAGTTGGTCTTCTATTCAGCTATGCGCTTTGAAAGAAGCTCATTGTGTCGCTTTTGTAGATCTAAATCCGGGTGAGTCATTATGCTTGCAATTCCAAAGGAGGTTTCTGCTTTAATTGCAATGAACAAACGTGATAAACTGCTTAAGTTTCTTCACTACCTCCGATGTGCAACTGGTAGCCGGTCATGAAGAAGCCTATTTGTTTTCTCCCTGCTTGAATCATACTTTCCCTTGCTCTGCCCGTATGATTTAACACTATAAATCTCAGTTTCTTCCAAACACTAATATTTTGTACCTTACATGCTTTTATAAATGCAGAATAGAACTTCGCGTCAGAAAATCTTATAATGTAACAAGCACTTACAAATCAGCACACTTCAACTGTCTTGTGAGAATAGGGTCAGAGTTTTAAGTCTCTGTAGTTATAGGACATGAAGCTGGCCAGGGATGAGGTGATTGATACGCAAACTGTAACTATAGATCGTGAGGAATATTCTGTGTAATATCAGTAAAGGACCATGAAGACATCGGTCTTATTCCTGTACATCACTATATAAATTTAACATCTATCAAGAACAATGTAAACATTTTATATGGCAAAACAAAATGCATAATCAGTATATTTATAATGTCAAAGCGTCTCTTGAGCATAATACTTGAACGAAAAGAAAAAATTAAAGTTGGGATTATGATGGTATTAGTATGAAGTGGGGCATAGACTTATAACAATGCCCCTAAATTGTATTTTGTATTTAAGACGAAGCTTATAAGACTATTTGTCGCCGTCACTAATATTGAACTACTGACCAGAGGGAATGCAGCGAGTTAGCAGCGCCCTACCACCCACTATTCACACTAAGGGATTGACTGTCCCTCTTATAACACACCCACAGCTTTACAGTGTTTTGAATATTTTATGGTATTGCCGGATTCGAACTCGGCTCGCCAGCTCCAAAATCCGGAGCTCTACCACGCTGACAAGCTGCGCTCATGCCTCTAAAGCATATATTTAGTATGGAGATTCTAAATTCATCAGATTTTCTTAACTATTTTCACAAATTCTGCTACTTTTAGACAGCACACTAGGTAAAGCCACATGATGTTCATCAAGTATAGAGCTTGTAAAGCTTCATTGATTTGA